TCGAGGACTTATGGTGTCTCAAAGTTATTGTATCACTACTATGAAATGTAGTTTTTTTTTCGCTTACTTCATGACAACAACATAGCTATGAAAAATAATTTTATATATGTCTAAGGAATATAGCAGAGAAATATGACTTCTTCAGATGAGCAGATCATCTCGATAGTTCAGCAGCAAAAAATGATCATGTATGGAGAGTTTTGATTGAGGAAGGATAATCTTGTGATATTAATCGTCAACATTTTAAAAATAATTATGATAATATTACTTTTTATTTTAATAGTTTTACTTTTAACTTTAATTATTGTGTTACTCAATGTTTAGTGAGATGTCAGTTTTCATTATATCTGTTGTCATGAATGAAATGTGCAACCAAGACTAATTTTATTATAAATAGCATAATACTATAGAGACAAAAATTTCATTTATTTATAAACAGTCCCGGTAAAAGAAATATGGTTAATGCATGCTTGCATTCGACGTACAGCTCGAGGACGGTTTCTCCATCATTTTTTATGATTCGAGTGAGGCTGCTTTGAAATTTCTGGAGTACTTGAAGAAACCGATGACAACAACGTCGACAAGAGTGTAGGGAGAAGAGAGCTGGATGTTTGAGAGTTGATCCATGGATCGATGCAACCCATGAAAAATGCGTGCCTGCAGCGTGGAAGGAATCAGAGGTTATCTGCGTCATCGAATTAAGCTGGAGAGGGAGCTGAGCATTCGAGACTTTTCATTGGAACTTTTAAAGTTGAGAATTAGACTTAGAAGGGAAGGGATTGGGCAGGAGTATTCGTAGAAGAAGAGCGGCCATTTCTGTCACATCGTCGTGGGGTTAAGCGGGGTTTTATTAAAAGAGATTTTATTTAAGATATGGAGGAGCACGCCGGACCCTTCGCTATGAATCATGAAAATCAATTTTAATTATTTAGAGGGACGGGAATCGTTGTAAATTATTTTAATAAAATTGTAATATTTAACAAATTGTGAAAAAAAAAGAGAATGATAATAATTTAAAAGTTAATATATATA